GTCATCATAGGCCCCTTCATGCTTCCGGATTTGTCCTGCCTATGTTAAATTTTGGACCAGAACAACAATTCTTAGACATCACACAAGAAAGTGTTTAATAGACAGCTGCAAAGACTACCTATTAGTTTAAAAAAACACACTTTTCTACTATACTGGCACCAAAATGCCACAAGTGAACAGTGATGAAGGACTAAAAAGGCTTATGTTACTAATTGTTCTGATGGGTAAAACAGGCTGATTTTCCATTCACACACTGAAAAGAATGGATGTAATATTCTCAACTACATCTATCTAGGACATTACGTTTCAGAGTTCCCTCTATGGTATTTATTACTGTCAATCTATCCAATAAGTTATGTGAGGGTAAACCATAGAATGAAGCAGTTTAAGATACGTGCCAGACCATTATAAAGTGACAGAGAATATATGCCTTTGCTTCTAAACACACTGCAGCTTCTGTCTGAGGTAGAGACACGTGAGCCTCCTAGTATCTAATATAAACAGGAGAGCCTATAAATATATTTTTTGTCACATCTGTTCTGCAAGTTACTCATTAAATGTTTATTCCGGCCAACCCAGTTAAAGGACCTAGTGCTAATGAAGCCTCGTCCTAATCCACTCCGCCTGCACAGAGTATCAGAAGAACTTTTCTTTCCTTCCTCTTCATCTCTTCTTAAACTTTGCCTGCTCATCCTAATGATGTGCTAGGAGCACAAAGGCAACAAATTGCTTGTATAGTTTGTTTTGAGATCGATTGAGACCTAAAGAAAATGACAAATTCAGGGAATGTAATTTACAATAAAAAAGTAGAGGAGGGACTTGTAGTTATTGTTTATGGGTTTATTTTCAATATTTTCCCAGTGCAGCATATTCTCTGGCCTGTGGCTTTGGAGTGTGCTCCAGAGTCTTTGAGAAATAAAAAAATAATAAAGGCCAGCTTTATGTCCTGTGAAATTAAATTCAACATATAGTCATATATTTTTTTGTTCATTTGTTTCATTGCCTTTTTTTTTGCTATCCCTCCCTGAAAAATAAAAATATGGACATCATAATGTGCCTGTGGATCTTTTTTTATAAGGTGTGCATGTTTGGTTTTATTGTATACCCAGTGGTCTGAGAAATGGAGCAGGAAATATTATGGTCTGCAGGTTTTTGATGTATTTGTGTTAAGAGGGCTCTTGTAGGAATATAGGGGTTGTAAGATGTTTGTTGCTTCCCTGAAGTTATAAAAGTAACTCTAGTTCAGGTTCATATTAATTAGGTGGATGTGTGGACAGTGTAACAACTGCCACACCGTGCTCTCTCTCAGTCTGTCTCTACACTTCAGTCTGTTGGAGGTCCTTATTTAAATCGACTTGTATTTCTTTTTACTGCGGTTTCATGGAAGAAACATTTCTTGCACTCTTTTAATGTAGTCTGGATCAATGGTCATTCAGGCTAACTGAAAAGCAGTTTAAGCTGCTTTTTTTTCTGCCTACTTATGTACTCTACTCACAGTGTGTGCTGGTCACAAACGATATTTCAATACTTAGACAATAGCTATGTTTACTTTTACAAAGTTCCACTATCCCATCAAGATATCTGATTAGATCAAGATATCTAATCAGATTGTACTGTCTAAATGAAAATGTTATCATAATCAAAAAAGCTGATTTAAAATGCATCATGTAAAAATGCCATTTGGAATATTCTGATAGCATCTACCCCAAGGCATCTAACTACCCAAAGTAGAAATATATTACATAGAAGTGGGGTACACCGGCACATTCAGGTCAGATTGCCTCATTAAGAACATCTTGATCAAGAAAAGCTTTTACATACCTGCCAAACAAATGGTCAATAAACATAAGTCACCCCCCTTTCAGTTGGATCACAATTCCTTTTTGATCCTGCTGAATCTGATCATAATATCTGTCTAGCATGTTTATGTGACAAATTTTTGGTCCTGCCATTTATTCTGATTAGTTATGTCCATGTAAACATAGCTAATGTCTACTACAGCTGACATATGGTCAAGTAAAAAGAAAGAGCAAATATCCTATAAAGACCCATTGCTGGCCCTGAGAGATACAATGTCCTCCGGCTGAACATCTGGAGCATGCCAATTTTCTGCCACTAAGGGTAAGTAGGACGTTGAAGATAGAATTGCTGAATTTCTAATTCTAGATTCAGTATGGTTTGTGTTTACAAACCAAAGGAAAGTTACACAATGACACCATTTTCATTTTCCTCTGTTGTTTTAAATTGATTTAAATCCCCAGATCCAAATAGTTACATCCCCAAAATCAATACTGTTGTGAGTACTATGTTCTTTAAGCTTGGCCTTGCACAGGATAACCCAGAGCATGTCCCTGAGAGACCTATCATAGCAGCAGAGGAAGCAAATAAGAAATAAAACCCAGAAACCTAGGATATAACTACATTTAGTTTGTTTAGTTAAAGAGACAAATGTCAGGGTTGGTGGATATAGTTGTAAACCCAAATGCAGAGTTGAAGAGGCAGGGATGATTGCTTGCAAAGTTTAATGAAAAAGTAAAAATACAAAATCCTTAGTCCCAAACTGATCAACAAGAAAACTAAGAGCCAAAACCTAGGAGAAATTAGGGAGGAATAAACCAAAAGAATTATGAGGATCCAGCAATTAGTAACTGAACAGGAGGTGTATATATGGGAGAGAGAAACAATGGGAGGAATAATTAGCTGGTAGTGAGCAGGTGTAGACAGAAGTAACTAGAAGGGGGAAAGGAGACTGGCACAAGGGGGCAACAGAGAGTAACTCTGTAAAATACAACACTGCTTAAATATAACACAAAATGGAAAAGAAACCAATGATCAAGAAAACACAGAATGACATAAATTAAAGTCTTATTGAAAACTTAAAAATAAACTTAAACAGAAGTCTACTAAGGACAGAACAATGACAACCAAAATCCAAAACTTCTAAAAAGTAAGAAACAAGAAAAGTGCACTTGCCTTGAAATTTAAAAGGGTAATATTTTGAAACATCGGGCCAGAATGCACATTTAATGGCTCTAAACTTTAAAATGTAATGGTTAATCTTGTGACAAAGATCTGTAGAGATTCCCGAAATGCTGACATTACCTGTATATTTGAGGGAGAAGTTAGGGGAAGTGTTGGCATGACCTCTGAGGAGATTGGTACCTGGTTCAATCCCCACAGCCTCCACTCTGGCGTCCTGAGCAAAACCCTTAACCCCATACTGCTCCCTGGGCGCTGCACAATGGAACCCACTGCTCCCCAAGGGGATGGGTTAAAGGCGGAGGTAAATTTCTCCAGTGTGAGGTCAATTATTATTATTTAATTTGATTATTAAGTGTGGAATACGTTAAAGGTGAAGTGATGGGGCAGCAACGGTTTAGCCCTGTAATTGGCCAGTCCCCAATTCTTACTAGAACTCAAAGAGGAGACATTGAGGTCTGTCTTTATTAAAATTAAATACCGAATCTATGGCCTACTGCTAAGAGTAGGATGAACTAAAACTGAAGAAGAATTGAAATCTGACACACACTGAATGATGTAAGAGAGATGATAAAGAAACTTTTTGTCCGAGAGACATTGACTCTCATGAAACAGTGAAGAAATCTAAATTAGCAGTCACCTAGGTTTTCTCCCTGTCTGCCCTCAGCTGTGATTCCTGAGGCAACATCTTCTTATGCTGCTTCTATCAAGCAAACACTGTGGTGATACCTTACTGTTGCTAACATTTTTCCTTTGAAGTTGATGACCAGTTACAATGAATAATGCATAATCTCCACTTCCTTCTCAAAAGACAATGTAATCACTGGCAACTTCTGCCTCTGACTTTCTCCCAGAGGAATGGTGGAAGAAGGTTTCCCCTTCCCTCTCATAGCTGTGGCAGGCTAAAGCAAACACAATTATTTCTGGGAACTCGTTCGCGTGACCCCGATAACTGATGATCAAAGTTTCTCTTTCAGTTTGAGCCGTTTTAACCTGCGCTCTCTCCTGGGCCCGAGCTATTCCTCAGATACATCTGTGGAAACTTCCCTGATTGCACTGCTATGACAAGATGTTTGACAGAAACGATCGTGGGAGCAGAGGGGGCGAACCTGATGATCAAATGCAATGTCACACTCAGGAGTTTTAGCTGATGTGGCATGAGGGCAGAGAGCACTTTATATCATACCCTCGTTAGGTATGTTACCACAAAATTCATCTTTATTGCACTTCTGTTTACTTTCACTACAACGATAAAAGCTGTAGATAAAAAGATGAATATCCTATCATTGCAACACAACTAATTACAGCGTGCTCTGTACAGTGATTTGTTAATAACACTCTGATGATCATTTTTACAGATATAAATTGATATGAAATCTGTACTTCTCTGATTATTTGTGTTTTTCTCACACAACAATCATATTATCGGTCTACATTATTCACCAGGCATCATTGCTACTATTCCCTTTATGACTCTCTGATGACATTAGCAGCAGCGAGGTTGTTTATTCAGCTAATCAGAACATCTCAGTTAACAAGCGAGTGTCTCTGATGTGGAAATTTGTTGTTGTTCGTGTCCAATTCTCTTCCCTTTTATGCAAATACTGTCAGCAGTGTCATTATGCCACCTCTGAGAGGGTGAAGAAGGAAACATGTGCATGTGTGGTGCCATGTTTTTGTTAACTGGTGGGGATAATTTCCCAGGATTAGGCTACCTTTTAGTGACATACTGTATAGGAACTCATGGGTAGCAATGACTGGTCCCCATGAGGAAATGTTCTCTTCTTGGGATGGGGGTTAGATTAAGGACTAAGGTATGGATTGAGGTTAGGTTAGGTGTTGATAATGGTAAGGGTAAAGGTCTGGGTTAGGCCATAGAAGTGAATGGGAAATGAATGGAAAATCCCCAGAAGAATGTTGTGACACAACATGTGTGTGTGTGTTTAAGATTACATTGTGTGTAGTGGTGTGGGCTGCCAGTCTGGCCACGCTTGTCTGCAATTACCCTCTTCAGTGGGAGCGTTACAATCTACTGCCATGGAAAGGTGCCACAGCCGAGACTCCTTCCCACCACTTCCAAAGACCCTAGAGTGGGCTTGGATTTGCCTCATAAGCATGTTTCATCTACAGGCTAAGAGGCAGAGCAGATGCCAAGGTGGGAATTACTGCTCCAGTCTGAGCAGGAATGCTGGGTGCTATAATGCCATGACTGCAGATTTGGCTCTTCGCTGTCTTGTGTGCATCTGTGTGTTCAGGGGTGAGCCAGTTTTAAAGCCCTTCAGATAAAAAACACATGGGAGGCTCACTGAGATTAGCTCCTAGATAAATGTATGTGAATGTAGCTGTCTTCAAAGTGACAGAGGGTCCATGTAAATATGCCAAGGCTGATATCTAAGATATCATCTGGTTATTTGCTGTTCTACTGCACATTTCACTTTTGATGTAAAGGAGTCAAAAGAAAATTACTACTGTCAGTTCTGAAACCCTCCGCACTTAAATGTGACTTAAAGCAAATTCAAATGCATAAAAAGAGAGATATATGTTATCATTCATTCTAGGATTGTTTTTGATAGTTCTCAAAGATGTTCTTTTTTGTGGGCATCCCAGAATGTCTTATGTAGAGATGACTGATGTTCTCCAGGAGTGTCTATCTGTAGGTAAAATCTTTATTAATGTAAACAAATATTTATTTCGCCCTTAAATACAGAATAAGTTATAAACAATTATCTTATGAGTCTGAGGCTGTAACATGATCAAACAGTGATGTGCTGTTCAACGTGTCAGTAACAAGGATTTCTTTTTTGAATTTGTGTGAGGGTGAAATTTCAGCTCAGTAGATGCAAGAACTTCCTCTGAATTATGGGAGATGCTGTTGTGGAAAAATCCCCTTAAAGTGAAATTGAGTTTTTTTTTTTTTTTCTTTTCTTAGTTTCAAGCCACAACATTCTTGCCACTTCAAACTAAACCAGGTAACATACAGTTTCTTCTCTTTCTGAGAATGCAACCTATAAAGAACCACTTGAGTAGCTGCAATGAGAGTTCAGAGAAATGGAAAAGCTTGCTGTATCTGTTTTTCATTTTCAAGTTCTCTGACTTGTCACAATGGACTGTGATGGTCGATGATTAATTTTCGTTAAACAAAGTGACACCTTTGTTTGAAACATATTACCCTTCATATTTCACATCAGTATAGATATCCCTGCATAACCTTTTTTTCTAATTCAGATCTTATTTGTTTTAAAATTGTTCTTTCATTTTTTTTTCAGCAGTCCAGTTTAGGTAAATGCCTGTCATTTGTAATGTCAAATCCTTTCAAATGCAGTTTACACTCAGCTCCCTTGTTTCAAATGCATCTTATGGAACTCCTCAACCTCTCTACAGTTACCATGGAACAGCCTCAACACAACAGAGTGTGAGCCATTACACACAAGAGGTAGTGCTAGCATGATGATGAGTGGAAAGATTATCACCTGTGTACTAAACCTGTATACTGATGGTTTTGCTCACAATGCAGAGGATGAACTAAAGAATTCTCGCCATTTTCTGTTCATTGCTCTGCAATACAGAGCAGACTCTGCAAAGGAAGGATTTAAATTGACAGAGATGGTTTGTGTTGCATTTTCTTCTTTTTGGATTTACTGTGGATAACTGTGCTTTCAGAGTCTGACCAGAACAATTTGCTGACTTTTATATTCCAATTTTGCACTCTACAAATAAAGTATGGCCATTTGAATTGGTTTCAATCCAAGCTTTTAAGCAAACTTACAACCCCAGAATGAGCATTTATTACATAAATACCTACTGTAAATGTAATTTTACTTTGTTTGGTATTATGAAATCATAGGTGACATATCCATGTCTATGCTGGTGAGTTTTTATCTCTTCTTTATTGTAACTATTTGGATACAGAGGTATGATAAAGCTATGCATCGGCATCGTTTTCTCTGTTTAAAATCCAAATAAATCACACACGTATAGACCACATACACACCTGAAAAACCTCATCACAGTTATGCTTTAAATAAATCACTCCCCAAAAATACTAAAAAACCTATTCATTTTTATATATAAGTAATGAAAAAAAAAATATAAAAAAATATATATATATTTTGCTTTGCTTGTAGTGATTACACATACTGTACTTTATCGCACCAGAAGACATGAATACTGTACCTGAATCTCTGTGACACAAGCTCATTACCTTTATGAAAACCAGGGTTGGACTTTACTGGGGTGTTTATATTGCATATATATTTTTTGAACAGATATAAATAGATTTTCAGTTTATATGAAAATAAATGCCAAAGGTGAACCTGACTTGTAAAGCTGCACATTTCTCTTCTTAATATTGTGGCTGCTGTTGAAAAGTGTGAATTTAGGTATAAGGTTAGGTTATATGTGTTCAGCCTGTGTGTGTGAAGGAGTAATATGTTCATGAAAAACCTTTTGTGCTGTGAAGAAACTTTACTCAATTTTTAGATTCACTGTCTACCATCTGCAGGCAAAAAAAATTAGAGTGCAAAACATTTGTCTTTGAAATGCCTGCTTCTCTCTCTCTGCCATCCAGGGATGAGCGGAAGATGAAATGATTCATCACAGCAGAGACAGCTTCCGGAGAACAAGATGAGATGAGACGAGAGTGGGAGCCGAGTCATTTTATATCTCCCAGAGAAATACACAAAGCTAAGATTAATTGTAGCGGCTGGAAGCCAATAATCTGTGAAGACGGACTGGGAGGAAACCTATTGCTCCACAGGTGTGATTTTTGATGCAGTGTTTGTCCAGTGTCTGAGTTTAGATAAACATCTCTCATCCTCTGCTACCTGCTGAACAAACTAGAAGCCAACTAACTTTAAACAGTGGATTCTAAAAGTATCCTATAAGCATGTATCACATTTAAATTTTACATAACCTTTTCAGTAGTTGAGCTGTAGAAAAAAAAAAAAAAGAAGGGGGATGGTGGATTATTTTTTTTTAAATATACATAGCCAAATTAATATATTCTATTAACCTAAAGCAATATGCATGGTATGGTTGTTACATGTCAGGTACATGTCAGCCAGTAGCGACCTTTCTTGCTGGGGTGTTGGCAACACTGGTGAAGGGATGAGAGGAGCAGAGAAGAGAAACTATTGAAGAAAAATTCTAAATATTGACAAAAAAGTGTTTAAATATATGAAAAAAACATATAACTAAATTTAGTAACTTAGAGTTCGCAAAGTTCTTGTTCTGAGTTCTTTCTATATTGTGGCATTTTGAAACAACTTTGTCAAGAAGAGCCAGCACCATTTCAGCCATGCAAATAAGGACAGCTCAGTGACACACTAGGGGGATAATTCATAATTGGGATATTGAAAAAATATAGTTTTGACTAGTTTAAAGGAACTGAAATATCTTGATTGAAGCTTTAAATGACAAATCGGAGGACGTCATTTGAGATATCTCATAATGCATTTTGACTCTCCAAAATGTGATTAAAGATATCTTGAATTGTTATTTTCCCATAGACATAATATAAAAATATAAAACATCATTAAAGGCAATCAAAATTTAGTAAATAATGTTTGTCTATTTTATAAAAATTTCTGTATCTCTACAATGGGTCTGTATTATGAGTTGTCTTCTCAATTCAGAGGGCCCCATGACTGTCTTTGCCTAGGGCCCCATTTCCTAAATCCACCCCTGCTTTGATTTTCTCCTCCAGGTTTAATCTGTTGTGCCCAGAATTACCTTCCCTGTCGCAGAAGCGCGCAGCGCCCTAAACTCACGCCCATTGATAAGAAAAAGGATTAAAATATGAACGAAAAGAGAAATTTTAAACATAATCTTAATGTTTTCATATTTCTATACATGGAAGCCTAAAAAATGATAGTATTGGAGGACAGATAAATTTGAATTGCCGGTAATAGGATTTTACTTGTTTGGAGATACGTTTCAGTCGTAGTGCTACAGTCAGTGTGCGATGAATAAATTCTCTGCTCAGTGGATGGCAATTCCCCCATTTCCTATCAACACCATTCTAGATCATTTCTGATACTTTATTTGTTAAACTTAGAACCTGGGACCTGCCGAACTAGGTGTCAGTGACGGGGCCCTAAGAGGTTGGTTGCCCCCTAAGCAACTGCAGTCTCTGCTTACCGGTAGTTACGCCTTTGTCTTTGCCGCTCGGCCGTGATGCTGTTGAGAAATGTAGAAAGGGCAATATTATTGCCATTACTGTTAATATATGATAGACATTTACACATTCAGTGATAAAATCTCACATGGAATGGTATGGGGGGATGGTCATTTAAGAAGGGGGATAATTTTTAAGATTTTTTTTAAGAAGGGTGATGCCATCCCTCTAATCCCCCCTCAACTCAAATACTGAACCTTTTGACTGGTGTCAAACTTTACAGTGAAACTTTACAGGACAGCCAGGTCTGACTTAATGTAAATGATTTTAGAGTACTTATTTGACAAGATTGTGATAAACAAAGATGTGAGGGATCAAAAATACACACAGAATAATATCTTTTGGTTTTTATGCTTGCTAATTATCCACAAAAAGTACTGTTATTCTTTTTACCAGAGTAACAAGTTGCAGTTTTTATAAACATTTCCTTTATATGTTACCAAGTTGGCAAATTCTTTAAAGAAGATAGCATTTAAGATGAAATCAGAATAATAAATGTGTTGTTTTTATTCTAAAATGATATGACGGACAGTTTTATGGGATTCAGGGGCTGTCATTATGACATGACTGCTTGGGGTAAAAGTGATTTAAAACCCATTTCACACTTGATTTAAAGAATGAGAGATGGAAGGGTATTCTCAGATCCATGGAGCTGTCTTCATGACTCGTCATATCCAAAAGCTGTGGATCAGACTCCGCCGAAGGATGCTCCCTCTCAGTTTGACTCAGTGAGTCTGTCATTTCAAGAAGAGCAATGCACACAAGTTTCAGACACCTGCCTCTGAAAACACCAACAACCTGTCCATCTTTTGAGGGGAAAAGTATCTAAGTGGAACCAGAGGATTAATTTGAAAGAATAAATTGTAGCATTTTATTAAACTAGCTCACAAAGATTCACAAATCTTCTCAAAGATTGCTGTACTGTAGGAGTTCTGTAATCCAGCTGTTGCTCAAGCAACACTGTATCACAGATCTACAGCAGTGGCATCATCATACAACCCAAGTCTTTGCTTTTGTTTTTTGTTTTTGACTTAAGACAGCATGTTGGTTTCTTAGGTTTGATTGATGATGGATGGGTGGCTGAATTAATTTATTAATTGATTAATTTATTCAATAAATAATTGATGCTACCTTCCAATAAATAATGGATGCTACCTTTGGCTTGGTTATGGGCAGCACAAATGGAAAGAATAATAGAGCTGTTTATGAGCATAGCAATATGTACAGGTACTGTATAGGTGCTGTTTTTATAAAAGAAAAAAAAACCTAATATTATTCTGTCAGTATTCGTCTGTGGATGATAAAAAAAAAAACTTGTGGTTTTGGAAAGGGTGCACACTGCAGCTAATAGACAAAACTGTAAAAGGAAAAGCCCCAAAGCTTACCTGCAGACAGAATATACTGCCTTCTAATGACTAAATAATTCCTTCGATAATAGGAGGGATTCTTTATAGCTTTAATTATTTATGCAGCATAAAAGTTTAAAGGTTTCTTTTTTTCACCAAATCTTGTTTCCACAGCAGCACATCTGACTCAATAATCAGGCTTGATGAGGTAACGACTTAAATGTAGATCTCTACTTTAAGACTTCAGTGTTTTGAGTCGCAAGTAAAATGGAGTTCAGAATTAAGGCAGAGTATAAGCTGGTGTTTAAACTGGTCATTACCATAGAGACCATGCATGCAGGCTGATTTAAAGAAACTTCTACCGCTCAAGGCAACAAGTTCATTCACTAGCTGGGCCTCATGATTGGTAACAGCATAGCTGCCTTGCAACCTATTAACCAATCATCTACTGTATAGAGGAAAATGAGTTCAGAGTTTTTAAAAATTAAACTGTAAAAAGTTCTTTCTTAGGCAACAAAGCTGCTAAATTGCAAGTCATCGCACCAAAACAAGGTCATGAGAGTCAAACAACTAGCTCACAAGATGGCCGACACACAGATGCATTTGAGTGGCAAAGTGAAGTAGGACTGGAAAAATGCGCAGGTGGACAAAGGAATTGGAAACATCCAAAAAGAAGACAAGAACACAACTTTACAATGACTGTAACATAAAAAAAAAAAACATGCAAAAAACATTACTGAGCACCTTTTTAATAAACAAATAAGCTTCAAACTAACTATTTTACTCACCCAAACAAGCTACCCTTTTAAAAGAAGAAGATTAGTGGATTTTGGTCCAGTTCGGTTGCGACACTGTGTTACAGGTACAACCCCTGGCAAAAAGTATGGAATCACCAGTCTTGGATGAGCACTCATTCAGACATTTCATGCTGTAAAACAAACTCAGATCAAAAACATGATACAATATTAAGGTCGTTCCAAAGTGCAACTTGTTGGCCTTCAGGAACACTCAAAGAAATGAAGAGAAAACATTGTGGAAGTCAGTGAATGATACTTTTATTGACCAAACACAGGGAAATAAATATGGAATCACTCAATTCTGAGGAAAAAAGTATGGAATCATGAAAAACGCATAAACAAAAGACCATTCAAAATACATCACTAGTATTTAGTTGCACCACCTTTGGCTTTTATAACAGCTTTCAGTCTTTGAGGCATGGACTTGATGAGTGACAAACAGTATTCTTCATCAATTTGGTGCCAACTCTCTTTGATAGCAGTTGCCAGATCAGCTTTGCTGGTTGGACCCTTCTTGTGGACCATTTTTTTCAATCTCCACCACAGGTTTTCAATTGGGTTGAGATCTGGACTATTTGCAGGCCATGACATCGACTGAATGTGTCTTTCTTCAAGGAATGCCTTCACTGTTTTTGCCCGATGGCACGATGCATTGTCATCTTGGAAAATTATTTCATCATCACCAAACATCTGTTCAATTGAAGGGATGAGAAAACTGTCCAAAATGTCAATGTAAACTTGTGCATTGATAGAAGAATTAACCACAGTCGTCTCCCCAGTGCCTTTGCCTGACATGCAGCCCCATATCATCAAGGACTGTGGAAATTTGGTTGTTTTCTTCAGGCAGGCCTCTTCATAAATCTCACTGGAACGGCACCAAACAAAAGTTCCAGCATCATCACCTTGTCCAATGCAGATTCTTGACTCATCACTGAAGACAACTTTCATCCAGTCATCCACAGTCCATGATTGCCTCTCCTTAGCCCATTGGAGTCTCGTTCTTTTATGTTTAGGTGTCAATGCTGGTTTTCGTTTAGCTTTCCTGTATTGAAATCCCATCTCCTTTAGGCGATTTCTTACGGTTCGGTCACATACATTGACTCCAACTTCCTCCCATTTATGCTTCATCTGTTTAGTTGTACTTTTTCGGTTTTCAAGACAAATGGCCTTAAGTTGTTTGTCTTGACGCTTTGATGTCTTTCTTGGTCTACCAGTACGCTTGGCTTTAACAACCATTCCATGCTGTTTGTATTTGGTCCATATCTTGGATACAGCTGACTGTGAACAGCCCACATCTTTAGCAACCATGCGTGAAGGGTTACCTTCTTCAAGAAGTTTCACAATCCTCTCTTTTGTTTCAAGGGACATTTCTCTTGTTGGAGCCATGGTTCTCACCACTCCACTTGGTCCAGCAGCCCTCCAAGGTGTCATGACTGCAGGTGTTTTGAACTGCACACTAACGGGCACATCTAATCTGGGGCAGGTGTCCATTTAGGGAAAGGAAATAGACTGGGTGTGTCCTTTTTTTTCTACCTCCAATTTGAGTGATTCCACACTTTTTT